GGGGGTGGGGGGGGGCACACCAACGTAGCCCCAACGCAGCCCCCACTGGCACCAATGCAAAAAATATTAAATGCATCGTTTTCTTTTATGAGGATATGTGCTCTAATTTTTTTTTGTATGTGGAATTTCCCCATATCAGAGATATCTCCTAGACCACATTCTTATCATATTTTCTGTTTTCATGAATCAATACTGCACTCCAGTCCTCACACCACCCAGGGTTTATAAGATTTTGTGAAATCCCTGTAATAAGATAACAGCTTGACTGACATTGTGCTTGTGTCTGACTGCAGAGAGATTCCTGCAGTATTGCGCTTTATAACGTGATAATTACACAGACACTCCTCAGCTTCATGAAGCAGACACTGTACACATAGCCCAGCCGGCCCCGCCCACCCCAGGAGCTGGTCACATGACTGTGACACACCGCAAGGTCCTCCAGCATAGTAGAGTGTAGAGGGAGGAGTACCGACTGGAGAAGGGGAAGTAAGTATATTTTATCTGGGGTAACTCTCACGGTTTACACTGTACTCTATGGGCTGCTCTGTCAGTGACAGTACTGAGGAGTATGTACCTCATACGTTATATAGTCACACACTTTAAATCCAATTCTTCTAGAGCTCGGTCCTGTCTTTGCCCATAGACACAGGAATATATTTACATTTTATGTTGTTTTTGCTTGTCCATGTCATTTGCAGCGATGAGTGATTTGTGTCTCTTCGTTAGACAGCGTACAATATGAAAGATCGACTTTCATCTATGAATGTGTAACTTATGGAGGCAGTGCTAGGAATCGTTACCAGGGTAATTGATGGGTACTGAAATGAATCATTGCATGTATCAGTCGTGGCATGATCTATCTTTTCTGTAAAACAAATCAGTTGCTTCCACTGTAGTAGATAGGGACCATAGGAAGCTGTTCAGGTGTATTGTAAACTGTAATACGACATTACTAAGTTGCTTTATTGTCTGGGACATAGCAGAGCATGTCCCAGACAAGCATGAATTGCAGATGTAAGGTAGGATATGTAAAGGAGAGCTGAAGTCCCAGCATATACTACCCTGTCATAACATCAGCACTATAATAGGAATACACACTAGAGATGTTTTTGAAGATGCAATCAAAGCTTACTTGGAAAAAAAAACCTTTTATGTAGTGAGTGCTGCCCTCTGTCTGCCCATCACTTTCACTAACTTCCTGGATTCCCAGTGTGCTTTGCATCTGTTTCCCTGCTGCTTGATGTGATGTAATCTCAATTTATCAAGACTACATAGCCCATCATCCATTGCTTCCAGCAAGCAATGATGATGTTACATTGTTCAGACGTTGAGTTATCGTTCAGTGAGAGTGGTGACACAGGGAAGTGCATATTCACATGGATGAGTAAAATAGTGTCGATGCATTGAGGAAGTACATCCTATGGGCATCTTCAATAAGTACGTTTGCCTACTTCTAGATCGATATGGTTATTAGGAGTGGGATAGAACTTCAATAAATTCCATATCGAAATATATATATA